CCATAGAATAAATAAACCCCAGTCGCTAAGACACAATGTGTGTGTTTATATGTGTAACGTTGTCCCAGAGACTCGTTAATAAGTAGCGCTATTGCTCACTGAGATAACAGAATATCGAATTGTATGTGATCCTGGCCAGAGCTCCGATCACAATGATCCAGAATCTGGATACTCGGTCGCGTATTATATTGTATTGTAGTGTAACTTTCGCAAGCATCGGTGAAGCTTACATTTTAGTCAAACCTCGCTAATGTCACATCTCACGATAAGCACCGTCTTGCTAAAAGTGCTAGTAGATATCTTATAATGGATGTAGAGTAAATCACCTTCCCTAAGTCGCCACCTAATTCTATAAAGTGGAACAAAAAATAAACAAACCATCACCGATGGCAGAAAAATCTAGGCTACACTCACTGACGAAAGCTTATCGATCACAAAGACCTTGGAGCAAAGGAAGTCTTGATTCGACTCATTACTGTGTCCGCACCTGTGCATCTGCTAGGAACCGGGGCGAAATCCAGTGAGATGATTATCGATCGTAGATTAACTCAAAAAATGTGTACTACAGTATGGCATGAATGAGTCATCATGACGTGGCATGTAGATAGACACTCACTACCGGCCTAATGATGAACGACTTGTTTTTGATTCGCTGCAAGCTTCTTGGCTCCTTGGTTAACATAAAACGTGTTGTCATCATCATCATTGTATAGTGTAATACAGTGAAGGGAACTTCACTGATCGTTGCCAAACGTGTTGTCCGAGCCTAATTGTAGATTGTTGAAAAATGAGTGCACACTGCTTCTGAGATTTATAGTCTTTGCCGGTCGGGCAAACCATCCTGAATCGCTTAGCAATGGTTCATTCGTTTTCAGAAGCTTGCTGACTCGAGAAGATTTGTTCGACCGGGACAGAGTTTTCGCGTCCCAAATTTTGACACTGGTGCAATTTATCTAAGCAATCTGTGGGTTGAAAAATTACTTGCTCATGCCATTAGGTTTCCAGTTTCGTTGTCTCATTTTATGGGATGCATCGCATTCTTCGTCACATACCTGATCATGGCGAGGCTATTAAACCGTTCACAGCCCCGTCTAATCGGCGCATTAGTTAGGATGAGGAGGAAGAAAACTTCATCCCATTTGGAGACCCACGCGTGTCAGTCCGATTTTTCCACCCCACCCCCGCGGTGATGCTATTGCTCGCCCGTGCATCTTCAAAAAGACACTCGAAAGACTTCTCTTTTGCTCCATATCAAATCACATCCGACTAGCTGACGAGAACGTAATAGGTGCATTGTAGATTGGTTTCTCTCACTCTTGTCTTAGGCCTCCTTTTAGTTTCACTCTGCACCGTACTGATGTAGGGTTTATTGATATTAGATGGTGTCGACAGAGTGCAGTTGCTTTCATCTTTGCATGATCTTGACGGTTTACCTATTGACTTCAAATTTTACTGAGATCTTCCGTTTTCAAAGCCTAAATTGTCTCTTTTTCATCACAAATCAGCGACACGGAGCGCATCTTTTTTCACGAAAATATTTTTCAAAACAGTCCACTGGTAAATCAAAGCGATAATTCCAGACATTATTTTACCGGCTAGACAAATTTGGCGGAATTTCATTTATGAAATATGTAGTTATAAGTAGTTTGTTTATGACTGGACAAAATTTTCCTGGAAGCACACGACACATGATTGATTGGACGAGAGATTACCGGAAACATGTATTCCAGCCGAACAGCGGCAATCAGCGCTAAACCAGTTATATGCTCCCGGGGATATTTTGTCTAGTCATTCACATACTATTAATTAAATCATCTCTTCCGTACTCTTTAATGCTCTTCTTCCTTTTTGTCTATCGCTCAACGCGACCGAACCCTGTCTTTCTGGTTGCTTTAATCAAGGTTGTGGTTATGTCTTCGATGGAACTTAGTTGCCTGGTGATTCCCTTAGTCCGTCCTGCATCTGCCTTAACAATGTCTTGGTCTGTAAAGAATTTCCCTAGTCGATCAATTCGAGGAATAATTATGCTGCCTTTTTTTCTTGCACATTTGTTCTACTACTCGTCAGTAATTTGGATTCGTCTTCATCGCATAAACCGCACTATCCTACCCAGATCCACACTATGTAAAACGAGGTCGATACACCGCGGAGACAGTTAACTGTCTGAAAATAATTGTATTAAAAAATGTGAATTCTCTTTATAAAACACAGTTTCAGTTTCCTAACAAGGGACCACACGATCTATCATATACGGAAGATTGACTGGTCATTCTATTATTCATCATCTTGCAAGCTTCCTCACGTCCACATTCAAGAATTTCCGAGTTGAACTCCGATGCGTTATAAATTTGCCTGTCAGCAGTTTTTTTTATTAGTTTGATTTTTTGGGCTGTCTCTCTCGATTGATCGTAAAATGCTTTCTTTTTTTTATCGCACACTATCGTGTGAACAACAGACAGGGAAAGCCCCACGCTCACGAGGACCTGCTTTTCGGCAATATAGACCGGTAACCTAATCCACGGTACTTGGAGTGGCGACCCACATAAGACCCTGATAGGCTAGGCGTGGTATTGAACCGGACGACAGCACAACTGCCTACCATCTAAGTTGGGTGGTGGTAGCGGGGCTCGAACCTCGGACTATAGGGTACAAATGACGCCTGTGAGAGCAACTAAACCACTGTGCCACCACCACCGCTACGAGTCAGTGGCTGAATATTCACCTCGTTCATAACGATTCCGTCGAACGGAAAGCAAACAGCGAGGTGGCGACATTAGGGAGGTTGGACTCTGTTTGTGCGCCAAACTCTATTCCGACACGCTTCTCTTACTCAGGTGCATTTGTTCGTGTGTGTGTTCAGATGCGAGCCAAATGCATACATATGTCGGAATTTTCTCCCTTTTAGCCGAATTGCAAGAGCTTGTTGACCGGTACATACCCTCCCAGTTGTTCCCGTGGATAGCAGATGTGCCACGACGCCTCGCGCACTATTTGAAGCGATTGGATAAGGTAAGCGTGACCTCTCCGTAATATTCTGATGCTCTTTTGACCGCTTTACCCAAATAGGTGCTCGTCATTTCATCATTGTCTGTTGTCTGTTTGTACTCACCTCACTCATGTGTAAACATCATGGCTATTGATCCTTCTCTTTGATTGTTTTGTAACTGACAGTATTTTTGAAAGATTTCGCATTGATATATCATATTTTCGTGATCGTGCACGTACAATAAACTGTGCCACATCAAAGGGAACTTTCACCGAGGTAATTTTTTTCTGTTCACCAGACTTGTGTTTTCTACGAATCTACCTTTTTTTATTCGTCCGTACCATGTTATTGCTTAACCACCCGATCGATTTGAAACAGGCAATGAGTCAGCAGTGTACAGAGGAAAAAGAAGCTGTTGTAAATATCACGTTTTTGGTTCCATTCTTTCACTGTGGTAAGCCACTCAACTTGGTCCTTCAACCAAGAATATGCGATTGATTTGAGGGATCATAAATACAGTCTTCGATCGGATAGTCCGAACCCATAAGGCCACTTTGTGCTGCTTCTTATCCGCGATCCATTTGGGGTGGCAGGCGGGGGGGGGGGGGAAACNCTGGATTGTCTAACCTCTGATGACCCAATCCGGTTATAATCCGAGATATGGACTTGTTATCTCAATTCCCTGATCTATGATATACTTACAGTAGTGCATCTTTTTGATTTTTTATGAAATCCATACACTTACAATGCAACAGTTGTATTCGAAAATTGAGATCACAGCCACGTGAAAAACGCAATACAGTACTGCCAAAAGTACCTTTCTATCTAACGAAAATTCAAGATTATTTCCATTTCCCATGCGACTAATAAATAAGCAATCTATTCGAACATTGCGGTTGAGGGAGAGGGGCTTGAATAAGATCTCCATGATGTTCATTATGTAACTTTCTCCGTTGTCAATGTCCTAACCAGGAACCAATCATTGTGTGAACTCGTTTTTCTTGTTTCCATGTTATTCTTTCATTTTTTTAGCAATGTCCCTGGGTGGCGGCAGCTTTATCTAAGTCGGACTCCGCAATCATTCCGAATCCGGAACTCCTGATTGCCGATCACGTGAGTCAGTTTCTCTTCTTTTCTTCGCATTCCCCAGGTGTCCAACGATCATTTGATGGAAAAGAGGGACAGGGCAGTAACCATTTTACCATGATAAATTCTCAAAAAGGGCATCAGCAGAGCAGGTTCGTATAAAGAAATTTGTCGTGTAAAAAGCAAATGAAGCGTACAATGAAAAGCTAGCAAGCACTGGATGATATGGTAGTGTCTTACACAAAGTGACTATCATCATGCATCCACTTCATAAATCTGGTTTAACTGTGCTCTCTATCTTCTTCCAGTTTGTATAGTTTTTCAAAGTGACCATAACCACTACTCTAAAGTCAAAAGTTAGCAGATGTATGATAAAAACCGTTATCTTGTTATCGTCAAAGGTCTCGCTAGCCTATATCCGTTTTTTACTCTGCTTAGTCCTTTGTATTTGATTCATAACCGTAATTGTAGCTCAGCACATCGTTCCGATCACATTCGTTGATACGGTTTGGTTATCTGTTCACCCGTTTTCACTACACACCTCATTTTCCGGTTTGCAGGAAGCAACAGTGCAACAAATGAAGGCGGACAGAGATCAAATTCAGACACAGTTGACGTCGCTGTCTTCCGAACTGTCTTCCCTGCGGCTTGTCAACACCGAACAGACCGATCGCATTGAACAATTAGAGAAACAAGCACGATTAGTAAGCAACACTGTTCCCTCGCTCTCCCCCTCTCTAACCCGTTTATAGAGTTCTTCCTATGTTCTCGGCTTTTTACTGTACTTTTTTCTTCTCTTCCGAAATCGCCTGTCACTGAGTTTTGGTTTTTAACCGAGCTTAAATAAACAAGCCCAAAACATAGGTTTGCACAATCTATCCTGGACCATTTCGCTGCATCTGTACACGTGTATACATACTACAGTCTATGTGATCATTAATATATGATCAGTAAATAACAGAATCATAGGCGAAGAAAGATTATGGTCAAAATTACTCACCAAACACATTTGTTACCAAGATAGCGCCAGAGTGATAAGCCATTCACGCAGTTTACACAGTTTGGGATGGTGATTTTGAATGGCTAGTGCCTCGGCGTATTTCAGAACCTTGGTATTGTTTGTGTTGTAGAGGATTCTGAACGCATCGCGCAGCATGACACAGTGTTTCATTTCGACCAGGTGTTGTGTGATCGACGAACTGAGTTTCTTACGCGTCATCGGTGACCTCATACTTCCGAAGTTTCCACTCATTGTTTTCTGAAGCCAGACCGGGATGTGCTCGGTTACTCGATAACGCAGTTTTATCTCCGTTCTGCCGATGTAGATGGCCTAGCATCCACACTTGAACTGCTAGATACAATTAGATTTGGCGTGGGGAGACAGCGGTCCCTTCACCGATGGTATTGGCAACCGGGCGGTTGTAAAAACAACAATGCGTAGTAGGTGCGCTTAACGGCCGATTTTAGACGCTTGGTAATCAGGCAACTGATATCGTCACCTTTGAAGGGCATTTGCAGGACCACTCTCATCTTATCTGCACCTGATGTCTTTTCCCGAGTATGGTTGGGTTGAGAGTGCTTCAAGATGAACCCTTTCGGATATCCGTTAGAGTGTATAACTTTCCTGATCTTTTCATATTCGGTATCCAATGAAATACGCCGAGGCACTAACCATTCAAAATCACTATCCCAAACTGTATAAACAGCGTGAATGGCTTATCACTCTGGGGCTATCTTGGTAACAAATGTGTTTGGTGAGTAATTTTGACCATAAGCTGATTCTGTTATTTACTGACCATATATTAGTGATCACATAGACTGCGGTATGCACGTCTACTGAAGTCAGTACATCACAATATAGGACATGATTTTCGCAACTCTGATCAAGTACGACAGTAGTTCCCAAGTGGTTGGGTCACCAACTTGCGACCTGGGAGTCTCGGGTCCGAACCGTTCCACCGCCGCCCGTCTTCCCTATTTCTGTATTTTCCTTGGCAGCCTTTGTATAGCTGCGGCCCCCTTCCTGAAAGTTGACGGTACATTTGTATATTCAATAAATAGAAAAGGAAGTAAAAAGACATTTATTTTATTCATCTCCATCGTGCCTCACTCTTATTCCCTCACCACTTTAGGACAAGGCGGATCTGGCGAAATTGAAGAGAAACGTGATACGTTATCAAGATTATCTGACGCAACTGCTGGATCCGGTCAACTCTGCCAGTGCCATGGCAAACATCATACAACGTGTTAATCGTACACCCGCGGAGTCTGTGGACAGTAATTCCAAACTGGGCGAAGATACTCCAACCCTTCGATCATCTCGACACCCAATGAACTCAATGAATGTCTCTGCCTCCTCCTCCTCCTCTGGTGTCTCAATGCTCAATACAGGTAACTATCAGTTCCATGTTTACTGAACATGGTAGCCATTTTTATTCAATGTTGGTTCCACATTTCATGTCATTTCTCTACATCGTCCCATTAATCATCTCTAGCATTCTCTCTCTCTCTCTCTCTCTCTCTCTCTCTCTCTCTCTCTCTCTCTCT